AAATGTCATTTGCCATTAGAGATACCTTCTTAAGATCTCCTTCCCACTCACTCTCATTCGGTACCTTCTTCAATTTCATGCCAGCTTTTACCATATATCCACATCCAAGACCAATGCTTTTGATAGCCATGTCTCTCACAACATCATGCATCTTAACTCTATCACTTCCAACGCATTCCTCTAATAAGCAATTCTGTAGAAGCCTATTTAAAAAAGCACGGCCCCGATCGTAAGCTGCTTGTCTACTTCCCCACTCATCAATCACAATCAGTCCTTCATCAATCCAATCTTCAATCAAGTACTCTCTAAAAAACTCATAATCTTCTCGAAACAAAGAGCAATACAGAAAGCATTCTTGGATTTGCAAACTTCTTAGACGGTCATAACTAAACCTTAACCGTCCAAATATCTCATCTTCAACACATTTCACACTTCTTACACATTGGCGTAATTCATTAAGGGCATTTCTCCACTCGGCAATGTCATATTCTCCCTTCATGCTCCCTGCTATTACAACAATTGCCAGTGGCAAGCCGTCGCACTCCTCCACAATAAGCTTCAAGGTTTCTTCCAATCCTGAAACTTTTTGTAAAACATCACGTCCAACCCTATCTAGGAATAGGCTTAGAGACTCCTGTGGTGAAAGAGGCTGCACTTTAACAATCTTACAATCCAAATAATTGCATACTTCAACTGATCTACTAGTGATAACCACTTTGCTCTTATTCTGCACTGGTTCCGGGATTCCAACATCCGTGAGAGAAAACTTTTCCCATAAATCATCTAATATTAGCACAAAACTCTTACTTCCCATTATATCCATTAGTGCTGCTGCCCGAATCATTTTTTCTTCATCTTCTGGAAGTGTTTTGCCCATAGCAAGTGCAATCTTCTTTTGTAGTTCTAAAACATTGAGAGGGTATGATACAGTAACCCAAATCACTTTCTGAAATCTGCCCTTGCTCAACAAAGCATTGTTAATGTGCTTCATAATTGTAGTCTTACCAACTCCACCAATCCCACAAACTCCGATCATTCCAACCTTGTCATCCATCAAATGCTTCTGAATTTCATCCTTAGTAGAAATTTCACCTTCTATCTTTTCTGTTGGAATCATAATTCCACGAGGTGGAGCTGTCTCAATCACAAGGCCTTCATTGAAATTGCCCCTGTCTTGAATTCTCTTCACCTCTTCAATTTTTTCACGCACGAGTATATCGAGACTGATACGATTGTAGCGTGAAACACTGTGCACCCTTTCTTCAACATCTTGTATGTCTTCTTCCATCTTTTGAACATCTTCAAGCCAGCCCTTTACATCTTCTTTGACCGCTTGCCCCAAGCGAACCTCTGTTTCTATTCTTGAATTAATGTCAATTTTTCTCCTTTTTAGAACCCGACATTCGCTTTTCAACGTATCCAGATCTTCTTCAAGCTTTCTGTAGTGGTCTATAAAATTCTCACCTTTCTCAAAAATTTTCTCCATTGATGAATTCCTAAAATGTAGTAGTAATGTCATTAGTTAGGATAATTTACGCACAACTTTATTGTAAACCGAGAGCCATAACAATATTAAATAGTCTTAAAAAAATGTCATTCCTAAGAACGCAACAAAAATTGTTTACAAAAGATACAAATTTTTTCTGTTATAATACCATGTTTAGGATTAAGATTATATATTAAGCCTCTAAATAATGGGTCTAGTTGATTTTAGTAAAACAAATGTAGAAGGTAAAGTATGGATAAATTGCAGAAGCAGATAAATGTAAGGCAAGGTATGGATCCTTTCTCTCTCTCTACATATATATATTTGATCAGCAAATTAGAAGCAAATTAATTAAGAAAAAAAAATAGCAGAATCAATTAGAAGCATCTCAATCATACGCATTCTCAATTTGGGACCGAGTTCCCATTGCCTAACATTCCTAATAAAGGGGTGAACCATAAGATTAGCTCCAACAATAGAAATGAAAATGCAAACAAGCAAAGAATTGCAATACCATGCAAAAACCGAAAGCGGCGCAAAACAGTTTCTGGCAGTTTTTGCAAGAGGAGAAAAATTTATGGTTTGAGAAATTGACAGAAGAGGTGCCCAAATTCCTTCTTTTTTTTTTTAATTTTACCCAAATTTATTTTTAATTAGGTCTTAAAGAGATATTGTAGTGGGTATTTTTTTTTAAGTATTTAAGTGGCTCTCAAATTTATAATTATGTAAACAAAAATGCATCAATGATAGGAAAAAAATTAAAATATTTGAAAATGAGAAAAAAAAAATACGAATATGATCACTTGAAGAAACTTCTCTATTTACTTAAAGTACCCCAAAAAGACCACACACAAGATTAGAGATTTCCTACCGATAAGAACATAATTTTTCAACAAAATTTTAATTAATGATATAACTTTTTTTCTTTAATAATTAAAACTATCACTTTTTAAAGGTTTTTAATTAAAAATATAACCTTTAAAATTATACTAATTAAAGTTATTATTTTTTAAAAAATTTTAATCAAGGGAATAACCATGCATATATGTCAACCAAATCAGTTGTTTTTTAGTAAAATTGCAAATATCACTCAATTAGATATTTTTAAAAGATGATAACCTTAATTGATAATAAAACAATATCATATTATTTAACTAAAAAAGTTGTAAAAGGTTGCGTATTTATTTGTATAAGATCTCCACGTGATTTTCATTTTAAAAATGAGAAATCTAATAAGAAATGAAGCTTCATATCATAAAAAAAGAAGAAAAAGAAGAAATGAAGCTTTTTTTCTCTTTTCTAATAATTAAGCCCATGGATCTACTTAAAACTGTTATTAAAATCAAGACTGAAGTTCAAAGATAGCTAGTGTATTGTTTGTACCTGGAGCTGGTTTAGTAGAAAGAAATTCAAGTTGGACACTGATAACAGAACAAGGCCAACCAAATTAGAAGTAGCAGCAGCCTGATTTTTCCTTATGAGAGGAGTTTGATTAGCCAACTGAGGAGAAGAGATCACTTCTGCCTTAAGTCAATGAGAAAGCCAATTGAAGGACATAATATTTGGACATAGGTCCTCCTTAGATGGAAGGTGCAAAAGTAGCTTCTAGTTGATCCGTTAAATGCGAATTTCTGAATTGAGAACAAAATTCAAAGCATAAAAAAAAAAGAAAAAAAAAAAAGAGAGAGAGTTAAATTTAGAGTGGATCAAAGGTTTTCGGGTAATATCTGGTTAGCTTGCCACTCCTATACAAGTTGAGAGCAATTATCTCACTATAGTAAGTTTTGGAAATTTTTCATTTTTAGTTAGGAGGATGAAAATTTGTAGCGTTGTATTTGGGATGGTTTTTATCACTTGTTTTAAGATTTAGACCAAATTGGTCAAATTAACTGGTTTGACAAGGACTAATATTGGAAATAATTTAAAATATTAACTTAGTAGTAGTCAAAATTTAGTGTGGTTAATACCTAGTCAAATTCAACCAAACTCGATTAAACTTGATCAAATATCGTAA